CTATACACTTTAATATTTGTGGATAGTTATACTAAAAAAATACGTTACAAACTTGATTATAACGACTTATTAACATGGATTTTATTTTTTGGTTTTTGTTAGTTTGTTTGTTTGTTTTATTATTTGATATATTACGGTGTTTCAGACTCGGGTGATTTATATCACAATGAAAAACTATAGCTGTGTAGTGGCGGTTAAGAATATCTGTGGGTGTCGTAAGAGGCGACAGTGGGATACAGTCAGGAGATGGGCAGCAGCATCTTCCTGATAACAGCAATATCACATTAAAAAAGTGCGGTTGCCAACCCGCTCGCCAAGCGTGGCAACTATGGCAATATACCCAAAATAAATAAAGTTACTAAGAGACGGCCTCCAGTCCCCGTCGGACCCGCTATTCCTGGCTACGGTGGCGACCATGGTAACGGCGGGGCAGGGGTGCTAAGAATCCCCGGTGGAGGTTCGGTTGCCACCTACGACGACTCGAACTGGCAACTTATAATGCACGCACCCTGAGGACTGACGAGTAGATCCTGGAGCTGGAAGAAGAGATGGACAAGTTGCGCTAAAATATTATAGGACTATCCGAGGTCCGAAGAGAGGGGGAGGACTCGGTAATCCTCGAATCCGGCAACTTGTTCTATCACCGGGAGGGCGACCACCTGTCCCAAAGAGGTGTCGGATTTATCGTCCACAAGTTTCTCGTTAACAACGTTGTAAAGATTGGCAGTGTTTCGACGAGGGTCGCGTACCTTATACTCAGAATCACCAAACGGTATTCGCTGAAGGTTATACAGGTTTACGCACCAACCTCGACATACCCCGATGAGGAGGTGGAGGAAATGTATGAGGATATCTCTAGAGCTATGCATTCCTCCAAAACCCACTATACTATACGGTGTTAATGGGAGACTTCAACGCAAAACTAGGCACAAGAGAGAACGGTGAACTGAAAGTAGGGAAATTCGGAATAGGGCAACGGAACCAAAGGGGCCAGCAGCTGGCAGAGTTCATGGAGAAAGAGGGACTCTTTATGATGACCTCTTTCTTCCAGAAGCGGCCCCAAAGAAAGTGGACCTGGTCGAGCCCCAACGGTTCGACAAAAAATGAGATTGACTTCATTATGACGACCAGACGACAACTGTTCAGTGATGTCTCTGTGATCGCGAGGGTGAAAACCGGCAGCAATCACCGAATTGTGGCAGGCACACTGAACCTAAACGTTAAGTTGGAGAGGACACGTCTAATGAAGTCAACGCTCCGTCTCCCTCGTGCTCTACTCCAAAGTCCCGAAACCTTTCAGCTCGAACTACGAAACCGTTTTCAGTACCTAGAAGATTGCAATGCGGTGGACGATATGAATGACAAGCTCGTGAAAACTGGCAATGCGGTCGCAACTAAGTTTAGCAAGACCCGTCGCAGAAGAACACAAAAACTCTCCGAACACACTCTTAAACTCATGGCTGTTAGACGGGATATGAAGCTGCAGTCTTCAGCAGATTTGACAGCATACAGGCAACTGAACGGACAGATTTCCAAATGCATGAGGCGGGACTTACGCAACTTTAATACTGCTCTTAATTAAGAAGCGATCGAGCGGAACCAGGGCTCCAAAGTCAAATCTGTCTGCCGGAAAGAGCCAACTATCGAAGCTGAAGACCGAGTGTGGCAGCGTCGTTTCCGGGACACCTAAGATTTTGAGTGAGATTGAGAGGTTCTATGGGTAGCTGTACACATCATCGTTGGAGCCACACGTGTGAGTAACGATCCAAGAGCGAGTCTTATCCGACATTAACCCGATGATATTCCGGACGTCAGTCTGAGCGAGATTAGAATGGCTCTTCAGCACTTTAAAAACGGCAAGGCCCCAGTCGAGGATGGAATTATAGCGGAGCTTCTGAAAGCGGGTGGAAAACCGGTACTTGAAGTCCTTCAGACGCCCTTTAATTCTGTCCTCCATGTCCGGAGACGTGGAGCAGAAGTGCGGTGGTATTGTTCTTCAAGAAAGGTAACAACGATCTCTTTAAGAAGTACAGGCCAATTTCCCTTCTGAGCCGCGTCTACGTGCTGTTTTCGAGAGTCACTACGAATAATCTCGCGCGCAGAATTGACGATTTCCAGCCACCCGAACAAGCCGGTGTCTGAAAGGGCTTTAGCACCATAGACCACATACATACCCTTCGGCGAATTGTACAGAAGTCCGTGTAGTACATCATCATCATCATCATTACAGCCCTTCACAAGTCTACTGCTGAACATAGGCCTCCCCCAAAGAATGCCACAAAGCACGGTCCTGAGCCACCTGCATCCATCGACTTCCTGCATGTCTTACCAGGTGTGACGACGAGTAGTATGAGTAGTATGTGAGTGACGTGTAGTACAATTTGCCTTTAATTCCGTCGAAATTTGGGCGGTGCTGCAGTCCCTTCAACGGTGCCAACTGTCGGTATATCTAAAGTGCTTGTACAGTAGGGCTACGATGGCTATCCGAGTACAGAACCAAAGTATGAAACCTATCCAATTGCAGAGAGGTGTAAGACAGGGTGACGTTATATCCCCGAAACTCTTCACTGCTGCATTGGAAGACGTTTTCAAGTTTCTCGACTGGAAAGGATACGGTATTAACATCAATGGCGAGTACATCACTCACCTTCGATTTGCCGACGATATAGTCCTTATGGCAGAATCGCTGGAGGACCTAAGCACTATGCTCAATGACCTCGATAGTGTTTCCCAACGGATAGGTCTTAAGATGAACATGGACAAAACAAAGATCATGTTCAATGTCCATGTCACACCTATGCCGGTAGTTGTTGGGAGCACTAAGCTCGAAGTTGTTGACGAGTATGTTTACCTGGGACAAATAGTCCGACTAGGTAAGTCCAACTTAGACCGAGAGGTTAATCGGCGGATTCAACTCGGTTGGGCAACGTTCGGGAAATTACGGCACATCTTCTCGTCAGGTATACCTCAAAACTTAAAAACGAGACTGTATAAACAGTGCGTGTTGCCAGTGATTACTTATAGAACTGAGACGTGGTCGTTCACTGCTGGCCGGATGAGGAAGCTCAAGGTCACTCAGCGAGCTATGGAGAGGGCTATGCTTGGAGTTTCTCTGCGTGATAAACTTAGAAATGAGGATATACGCAGTAGAACCAGAGTAACCGACATAGCCCAACTGATTAGTAAGCTGAGTGGCAATGGGCCGGCCATAAAGCTCAAAGAATCGACAACCGATGGGGAAAAAGATTATCGAGTGGCAGCCTCGTACCGGTGGACGAAGTATGGGGCGTCCCCCCACTAGATGGAGTGATGACCTGGTAAGATATGCAGGAAGGTGATGGATGCAGGTGGCTCAAAACCGTGCTTTGTGGCATTCCTTGGGGGAGGCCTATGTTCAGCAGTGGACTTGTGAAGGGCTGTAATGATGATGATGATGATGAAAAACTATACAACAAAGAACTCTGAGAAATTCTAAAAAAAAAGATCGAGGAAAAGCAAATAATAATCCGACAGAATTTTTTTAATAATTGTAAAAACAAATGGGATAGTATGGATTAGAAAAATTTGAGACATAAGTGACAATTCAATCATCTATAAAAAGGTTATAAGCGGTTATATTAACTGCCTATTTTTCAGGAAGAAAGAAGAAACAAACGTACATAATTTAATTCAAAATATCTAAGCTATTAACATTTGAAATCGATTAACGACACAAAAATTTGATATTTATGAGTAAGAATAGTTTTATATTAATACAGATAGCATAGAATTAATTATTAAATATAATTTAATACAGACAGCATTAGAAGAAGAGAGAGAGAATGACATTGTCGGTAAGTTCACACTCATGATAAAAAAAATCTTGTTAAATTTATAAAAATTAGTAGATTGCAACGTCAAATTCGGTAGTTCCGTAGATGATGACAAATTTCCGTATATCTATAGAAAATCCGTAGAGTTAGCAACACTGCATTGATATGCAACATAAGATCCACCAATACAAATGTGATATTTTACAAACTCCCCTCTTCTCACACTCCGCCGCGCGCCGCATCGCGCTGTCCACTCGACCGCACCTCAAACAAGTTTGGACTCGCTTTCGCTTTACTTAGGAACCGGTAAAATAAAGGTTCTTAAAAGTTTTAATTTAGGTTCTGGTTCCTGTTCCGGTATAGGTACCGAAACCGAAACCTGTTCTATACCGGTATTTTGGGACCGTTTTCAATCCCTGCTAAAGAGAGACAAAATATACGTCTATAGGATTTAACCCGCGAAAGAATGAGATAGAATACAGTTTTTCCTATTGTGTAAGGAGATCATCCGATCCGAACTTTGTTGATTAGAAAATATTTAAGTAAGTACTTACGATGATGAGATTGAAAATTTAGAGTCTGTATAATATGTAATGTAATATAATATGTGGAATGTAAAAATATTATATAGGTGTATAAATTTTTATTTAACGTTATATGTATAATAATAATGTAAAATAATTTTTAAACTTGGTAACAATATTTTAATAAATAAACCCTAAAGTTATTCTACTCCTGATACTCTGCATTCTTCTCATTTTCTCGAAGTTTAGTTTTCCCACAGAATAAATAATAGGTTTTCCGAAGGTTTCGTTCCTACCGCGTGTGAAACTACACGAATATATATTATTTAGTATATTACGCGCTATTTTCTAATTTATTTTCTTTTATATTCGTTTGAATTGGTTTACTATAAAGAATATTATACTGATTGATTGAATAGGTAATATGTGTGCAATAAAGTATAAATAAATCTTCAACGAAGAAATAAATAATAAAAATAGTTCATCTCGTATTCGGCACTAATCAGTTTTTGCTTAGATACAAACTCGGAAAAAACACCTGACACGCTGACAGGTAACACACTTCACATTCGTGCATTTTTGGGATGTGAAACAATACACAGTTACATAATAAATAGATAATAATTTAATGGAACTTATCAAAAGATTTTTAAACATATATAAATCAATTTGTCAAACAACCGATGTACCAGGGGTTTTCAACGTAATAGATGTGCATGGTCACAATGCCAGGGTTCTCAGCCGTGTCGTACAGGCATTGTGGACCGTCGGGCACGATACCCTGTAACATATTATACATAGTTTAGAGCGTTACTACACAATACTTACTTGATATGCATTTTAAAGTACAAACTTGTTGTTATATAAAACATGATCCGTATTTCCACTGTTATCTTCATATCTTTCTCCATATTGAATGTTATTTGTCTGTACACTGTCTGCCACTGTCATTCATTTACTATCAGGGGGACTGTGTTCTCGTTTGTCATCATTATTTCTCATTCCTAAAAAAACAGGTATGAACCGCTTGATGTACTGTTCCTTGAGGAATGGAGCAATAGTGGGTACTACTTACTTTTTCTGTCAGCAGGGTATACAGTGTGCACGTGAGGATGCTCTATGATATATAAGTACTTATAATAGTTGTTGTGGTCAATGTTTTATTCAAATAAAGTTGCTGCTAATAATGCTGTTCTGTTGCATATGTACGAAGTGTTCATATTCCTTGCTAATCACAATAAAGTGCACTTACTATGGGATATGTTATGAAAGATAAAAGATATCTTTTAAAATAGACGCATGGGGTTAATTTTAATGGGTGTACCTAGAAATTAATTCTAATTCTAAAAACACAAGCTTTTGACAGAGTCCCACCAATTGTGCTAAGGACGTGTGCTCCAGAGTTGGCACCGATTTTAACGCGTCTTTTCCGGTACTCCTACTCTTTAAGCGTAGTCCCGAAATCTTGGAAGACGACTTACGTTCACCCGATCCCTAAAAATTGCGACCGCTCAGATCCGTCTAACTACAGGCCTATAGCCATCACCTCCTTGTTCTCCAAAATAATGAAGTCCATTATAAACTGCCAGCTCATGCCGCAAATACGGTTTTATTCATCATCAACTCTACCTGGTCTACCTGACTCATAGATGGGCGGAGGCAGTAGAGTCCAAGGGGGAGGCATTGCCCGTTAGTTTGGACATTGCGAAGGCCTTCGATCGGGTTTGGCACAAAGCGCTTCTTTCGAAACACGAACTATGGGATATGTTAGGAAAGATAATATTTTTTTTTTGAAATAGAAGAATTAGGTTAATTTTAATGGGTGTACCTGGTAATTAATTCTAATTCTAAAAACACAACCTTTGATGATTATTTTGACTAATTTAGGCCACAGAGGCATCTTAATGAAATTAACAATTTAAAAAAAGAATTAATTAAATTGCCGAAAATATTAAGTACACCTAAAGTATTAAATTGAATTTACCTGAACAGCAAACTTGGCAGGTCTTTCGAACCAGTCCCTCTCGCCGCTCTTAACTGGCAGCTTGCCGTGCGCGATAAGACCCATGGCGATCAGCTCACCAGAGTGTACAATTGGGAACCACGGGAGGAGAGTGTTCGATGTGCAGGTAGTCTCCGACGTCATATTGTAGTAATAGTGACGACCTGAGTGAAAGTTAATCTCAGTCAATAATGATTATGAGGTTCGCCTAGGTGATTCCAACCATATCGACTACGTTTTTTTTTGTGTAGCTTATATAGACCATATAAAATAGAAATGCAAATGCGGTGTTAGGCTGATGAATAAGATGGAATGCTTCGTTTAAATAAAGTCGTCGGGTGTCTACGCTTACCATGGCAAACACAGCTGCACTAGCTGCTATTTTAGGCGGAGGTAGGGGTTGTATTTCAGCAGCGTTTTCACTCCCGCGGGAATATTGGGCTGTATTACCGCAGGTTCGTATAGGTCTTATACATTTCATGAAATTCAACCCAAGGTTAATGAAAAGTAAAGAATCAAGATGTACGATTCCAACGTTGTTGCTAATGCTGTCGCTGACGCTGACCTTAGGGTATGGAACTTTTTATTCCTTCCTCTGTGGTGACCATCGGAAGCAGATCTCAGTCATGGTTTAGTCGCTCTTGTAAAATAGCATCACGCTATAAGCAGGAGTGTTACCGGGCCTGGGCTGACGCATCATCATAAAGGGATGTAAACACCAGCACCTTTAAAAAGAAGTATATGCCGTATATGTGGTTCACACAGTGCTCGGTACGCAAAGCACTCCTCTACCTGGACATCGACAAGTCGAGTGGGCATAACGGAATCCCCCCAATTTTGTTGAGGACGTGTGCTCCAGAGTTGGCACCGATTTTAACGCGTCTTTTCCGGTACTACTACTCCCTAGGCGTAGTCCCAATATTTTTCTTCACCAGATCCCTAAAAAAAGTGATCGCAGAGACCCTACAACTACAGGCCTATCGCCATCACCTCCTTGTTCTTCAAAATAATGGAATCCATTATAAACTGCCAGCTCATGCGGCACATTTTCATTGGCCGTTAGTTTGGACATTGTGTAGGCCTTTGATAGGCACAAAGCGCTTCTTTCGAAGCTCCCTTCCTATGGGCTTTCCAAGAAATTGTGCAAGTGGATCACCAGCTTTCTTGCAGATCGAAAGATCAAGGTCGTTGTAGACGGTGCATGCTCCGATTACAAGCCTATTAATGCTTGTTCCACAAGGCTGCGTGCTATCACCAACGCTTTTTCTTCTGCGTATCAATAATATGTTGTAAACTGGTAACATTAATTGCTAAGCGGGTGCCAGCACTGGTGATGCTCTATATACCGGCTGTGCCAACATTTCTCGGGAAAACGTCACCGAGTGCCGGAACAATCTTGTATCTGAAGTCTCGAGTCTATGCTGAACAAAGTCTCGGATTTGGGGCGACTAAATCTAGCCCACTTTAATCCTCAGTTGACACAAGTTTGCGCGTTTACCGCTCAAAATAACCCCTTTGTCGTATCTCCTCAGTTTGAAGGCACTCCCCTTGTTGCCTCAGCCAGTATCGGAAATCTCGGCGACTACATATCGAATGACGTGCAGTTGCGTGGTAACTTGGAAGAGAAGGCCAAATTGACCTCTAAAAAGCTTGGCGTGCTCAGCAGAGCGGGACAGTATTTCATGGCGGCACACCGCCTGCAACTTTAGAAGGCGCAGGTTTGGCCTCACATGGAATACTGTTCCCATCTCTGGGCTGGGGCTCCCCAGTGCCAGCTCCTACCACTTGACTGCATCCAGCGCAGAGCGGAACGAATCGTCGACGACCGAGGGGATCGATCGATCGAACTACCACGGGGAGTACTCTGAGGAATTGTTCGGATTAATCACAGCCGCCAAATTTCACGAACGCATAACGCAGCAAACCTCCCTTTACCATCCACACCATCTGGATGCTTGGCGGTCTACCACAGCACGTTTCACTAGTAGTATTCTTCCGCGTACGATCTCTCTGTGGAATAGTTTACCACCGGCGATTTTTCTGGACCGATACGACTTAAGGACCTTCAAGAAAAGAGCTTACTCCTATCTAAAAGGCCGACAACGCACCTGCAATTCCCCTGGTGTTGTAGTTGTTCTTGGGTGGCGGTAGTCACTTACAATCAGGTGAGCCGTATGCTCGTTTGCCCCCTCTCCTATAAAAAAGTAGCAAGTATTTAAGTTAAAAACATATTTTAATTAACTATTATTCAACATAAAATACCTTTAAGTAACTTTTTAAAGTGTAGTAACATTGGGCTTTCGTATCCGCAAGCTGGCGCGGTATCCTCTAAGCCTTCAAATGATGCAATGCAGAGAGGTGCAGTGTTAGGGATACAAGGGCAATAAAAACTCATCCGCACTCAAAAACAAACAACTTGTGTTTATGCACAGATTGTTGCTCCAGGGTCCGAACCCAGATTGACTACGTAGTAGCTAGTAATTTCAACTGATTAATCAATGCAATAATATCAAGGTTCCTTACTACGGAAGACCACTTTTGCTACTTGCCTTTTTATTTATTTAATCATACTCACCCATCCAAGGAATACAGGCTTGACGTGTGAATAGGCTGTTTTCGACATCAGTAGCATTTTTGGAGATTCTCATTAGTTCGCCGTTGAAGCCTGTCACCCAGACGGCATTCTCACGCAGTACCTCTGGTGCACGTCCGAAGGCCGTCACGCGTTCTTCCTTGCTCATCTTTAAAGTGTCTGTAGTGTTAAACAAGATGTGTTATTTGAATCGTTTTCCGGTTTTAAAACAATTCCATGAACTGATTCGTAAAAGTATTGCGGTGGCATGGAGAAATGTTACTAATTAGAGTCGACTTTGAAATTTTTTTTTTCCTATCGAGAATATTACATGTTGTCGTGTTTTTTCAATTTGTGCTTAATTGCACAAATTGAAAAAACATATTGTCAATAAACATTATACCAACAGTTTGTTTCTTAATTTATAAAATTTAAAGGCACGTGTGAAATAGAAAAACTATCAAATTTTCGAGGTTATAACCTTATTATGGAATTCGCTTAGCCGCACCGCTATCACACGAGTAAAGAAATCGTACCGTACGCTACAGTCTTCACGAAACTTGACATTTGCTTTGAAATTTCATACGTTATATCTTAGTTCGCTTATTACCGTCACATGAGTAAAGAATACGTTCATACGTACTCGTAATTTCTTTGGTATAACAGATTCTAGTTTAAACCTGATTATAAACTACTTTTTGCAATAAGGTCAATTGAATTTATGTGGTGTTTCGACTATGCAACGAATTCTATAAGGTCATTAAGTCCTTAGTTACTATTTAGATCACTGGTTATGTTCACTACCTAAAGATATTAATTTTATAAGACACTTTTTTTATAGAATAGAATAATAAGGGTGACAAACAAGCATACAGTCCACCAGGTCGTAAGTGGATGCTACGGCCCACAGACATCTACATTTATTTTCGATTAAGAATTAATTGTCCCCCCTGATAACTAAGATGGAATGCCTTGTTTTCAGTTAAAAGTGTCTCTGGTTCTCTACGCTCGACATACGAAACATAGGAGCATTAAGATGCTATTTTATGCTGGTATTTATGTAACGCTGTAGTTGGTTTTTTAAGATATACGGTTTGCTTCGTCTTTCGTAATGCCAATAGCAAAGGTCAGTCTATCCGTCCGATTACATTCTGGGGATCTTCAAGGCAAGGCTTTTGTAAAAACATCGATTTAACATCTAGGCCTTCATCACCACTTACAGCAGGTGGGATTGTAGTCAAGATGTAGAGAAGAAAAAAGATTTTACTTACGCGAACGTGGACATTTTTTCTTGTCTACTATCCAGTATAAAGCCTAAGCGAGTACTCAAATATGTTAGTGTTTGACACGACGACTATCATAACAGATAGACATGTAAAGCAGGTATTCTATGACGTATTAAAAAAGATTGTCTAAGAAAACCACTGTCCGGAAGGCACCGTTTTGTGGATTTGTGTGTGATAATGCAATCCACAAGGCAAATTGTTCTTCCCATGCTCAATAATAAAATATTCACATAGTAACTAAAAGCGAAGCTTAAAACTGGACTAAAGCAGTGATTAAAATCAAACCTTCAGAGACGAAGTATTGTTGAATAGTCCAGAAAGTTGTAGTTTCACCGGAAGAAGTTGTGGTTGTCCATTCGGTCCATCCTTGAGTGGGCCAGTCCAGTCTGGAGCCTGTGATCTCGTCTTTCGGGATCTGATAACATTTAACGTAATTTTATATTGGATGACTGCTCGTTAACGCTGTGGCTAAGCGATTGGCTGCTCCGCTGTGGGGTCGCGTGTTAAGATCCTACACGGAACAAGTGTTTTATGTGTTCCATGTCCCAGGCACGGAATGTTTGTCCTTGTGCAGTTTGTGTATGTAAACGTCTCCACGTTACAGAATGAAATCTTAGTGTGCGAGTAATTTATTCTTAAACAAAAATAAATGTGTTAAAATTGGTCAAGCCAGAACAAACAACTTTCCTTTGATATGTAACTTTTTAGTACATTACCTAAGTGTTTTGTTTTGTTGAACTTGGCAAGGAACACTAAAAATGTACAATGCTTGGAGTTAATTATGGCTATAATACAATGTACCTACTTTAAGAAACAACTTCGGCTTATCTCATATAAATGGAATGCTTAAAATCCCTTTCTCTCTCTCTCTCTCTCTCTCTCTCTCTTCAATAAATGACCATAAAAAGAGACAAGTAAAGAGATAATTAATACAGAAGTATTTAAGCAATAATAAAAGATCATAAGTTAGACCGATTATTTCAGAGTCTAATTGTTAAATGGGGGTACAGTTCAATTAAGTTACTTCGACTAAAATTTTTGATGTTTTTAGTTTTTGATGTTTTCGTGAATTGCTTAGAATAATGAGAGAAAAGGGAAGTTCTTATGTAAAACATATTAAGAGTCAATTTTCATCGAAATTTTACCTACTTCTACATCTCCTTCAGGGTGAAAATATGTAACACTTACAGCAATTTGCAGACCGGCAATATTTTCGTCCATGTCAAACATCGTGCACACAATGCGTTCTTTCGAGCAGTACATGACGAGACCAGGCAAAGGACCGGTCGGACGTTCCGTCAAAGTCCAGCCTTCGGACTTAGCGTCTTCTACAGTGCGGGATAACGGGAAGAAGAAGTCCGTTCCAGGCCGAAAACCGATGTTGAACTTGACTACGGCATATGAAAAGATAAAAAAGAATATGTCAATTTGACAGTCCTGTTTCGGTGTAAAAAAGATTATGGAAAAAATCCTTTATTTAACACCGATATCTGATGGAACTTATGTTTCAATAATGTAATCATTTGATTTAATCATTTGTTGATACTAATTATTTCACGCTTCAATTCAACAGCTTTACGTGTCATGTACAAGTTGGTAAGCGATGTAAGTGATAAAAAAACATATTCCATGGTCAATGGCCATATTATATTAAAATTGGCATAATATATTATCTACCATCATAATTGATAAAATTAACGCTTTTTATCATACCACTTAGATAGTTGATTATTTGAATTCATCATATCAAAAAAATATCAAAACGAAATTCGGTCCCGATTGAAATATCAGTAATTGAATTATTTAAAAAAAATATTCACAGAATTTAAGTAAAGATCATCAAATCTGGTTGAGAATTATACGGGGCAGTTTCGTTCCGTGAATGTTTTAAGAAGCTACTGTAGATAATGCCATTATGGCTTCAAATAATAATAAGAAGAAGAAAAAGATTGAACTGATAGCGTTACTGAGAGTAGTAGTGGCGGGAGAAATGGGCTAATGAAACTGAGTAATTTTAAGTGCTTTAACAACGCTTTCAGACAATTTAAAATGTTTCGATGATTTTTGAAGTGACCAACTAATTCAGAATGGAACAGCACATCGACGACACACATAAATCTCGACTCGGACGACAAACGACGGTATCTAGCACACCTGATGGTAAGTAGATGCTGTGGCCCATATACATCTACATCTATCTTCAGTTAAGAATCAAAATGCAGATGCGTTATTATACCTGAGGACTAATATGGAATGCCTCTGTTCCAATAAAAAGGGTCTCCGGTTCTCTACACTTACCATACGAAACACAGCAGCATAAAACTACTGTTTTATGCTGCTGTGTGATTTCAATACCAGCATAAAACAGTAGTTTTATGCTGGTATTGAAATAATTTTCCAGCATCTATCTTTCCGTCTGAATACAATCTGGGCGTCTTCAAAGCAAGAGTGAATAGGCTTTTGTTACTATAAGACAGTGAGATTTACCATCTATGACTGCATCACCACTTACCACCAGGTGGGATTGTAATCAAGCGTTACCTTATAAAAAGTAAAAAACAAAATCTGTAAGAGCTTGGTTCATCCCCGGTCAAGCCGACTGATTCGCGCTACAACCATAATATAGCTGCTGTATGGGACGTAAAACTATGTGTAGGCTAAGATGTTTTTAAAAGTAATGTCTTTGTGTGTAGGTGGTTGTCTCGATAAGGAACACAGATACACGTTGACACTCGGTCTAGAACCGGGATCGGCAACCTGCGGCTCGCGAGCCACATGCGGCTCTTTGGATGTGAAGCTGCGGCTCTTTAGTTTCATACGCAAATATTATTTATTTCGTAACAAAAAAAAAACCTTTAAAAATCGATCTTGAAAATTTACAGAGTTGAAAAGCAAGTTGAAAGAGTTGGAGGTCCAGAAATGTATGTACGTAACGCAACAAAAATTAACAGCTTTAAAAGAAATGCCACGAATTGAGGCACTTATATTCGACGCATGGAATAGTCTTCCAGATTGCTACAGTGAGGTTAAGAAGAAGAAAAAGTGGCATTTAGAGTGCTGACTATCTTCGGATCGACATATTCGTGCGAGCAAGCGTTCTCTTGCATGAATATAATTAAAAGTAAAGTAAGAAGCCAACTAACAAATGAAAATTCAGAGTCGTGTTTGAAACTTAAAACAACAAGTTCTGAGCCAAAATCCAAACTTTCTAAAACCATGCAAAGCCAACGTTCCCATTGAATTTGTTTACTTAAATGTATGTTATTGTTTTTTATTTTTAAGTAAAAGTCAGATTGTTCAGTAAAGTTTAAATTTTCTACTTGAATAAACATACAAAGCCAAAGTTCCCATTGAATTTATTTGCTCAATTGTTTGTTATTAAAGTACAAGTTAGTGTTGTAAGACTTACAATGTAAATAAATGTTTAATTGTTTTAATATTTTACTTATTCTTATATTTATAAATATATAGAATCATCATCATCATTACAGCCTTTCATAAGTCCATTGCTGAACATAGGCCTCCCCAATGAATGCCACAAAGCACGGTCCTGAGCCACCTGCCACAATAATAGAAATTAGATTCAAATTTATTGTGAAAAACACTATTTATATGGAATAAATATATATTTTTCTTATGAATAAATAGTTTAGTTTTTTTATCAAAAAACATTATTTATGCAAGTACTATTTATAGTTGGCAAGAAAAAAATTTGTGGCTCTTTAAAAACTTTGAATTTTTGTAAATTGTAATTTTGGACTCTTCCGACTGAAAAGGTTGCCGACCCCTGGTCTAGAACTGTCTTGCGCTATCGTGTATCCTTATCATTAAACAAACCACCTATAGAAAAACCTTTTTAAATATTTCTTAGCAGTGAATTTTCATTGGTATCAACATTAATACATTTTTTGTTGTTCAAGTATTATACTCAAACAAAAAAAAAACTTAAATCAAATTGTTTGGTTAATGTTATTTAAAGAAAGATTACCTCGAAGTCCACTCGTCCATTCTCCTGAAACTGAAACAAAATTAAAAAAAAACGGTTAACGATAGTCATTTGTCGAAAACATTGAGTTATATGTACTACGTACTAGAGAAGCTATTCTAAAACAAAAATTGTGCGCTACTCTACGTCTTCGCGCATGCGCGGGAGATATTAGAGTCCCGTATGCGCGAAGACTAATTTAATATAAAAGAAGATATGAATATAAAATAAATATAAGAATTTAATATAAAATACTCTTATTTTAATCTAAACAAACATATCTCTAAATAAAATGTAATGATAATTATCTTATGGAATTCACAAATGTTCAATTTACGCAATATTTAGTTTAGTGTACAGATTGCAGTACAGTTCAGTTGAACATGGTCAATGTTCGGAATGCGAAATATAGTGTGTAGTATATATAGATATATCGATGTTCGAAAACAAATTATTGTAGTTCATTAAAATCTTTAATGAATTAAAGAAATACCTCCTACCTATAGCATTAAATAAATAATCCATGCTACAGAAATAAATGAAACATGACATTTGGAGTTTCCGGGTATGTAACCGAGTTGGTGCAGTAAAAATTAACGACACGTGCAGTTAAATTCGTAGGAGTACGCCATATTTGTGTAAATCAGGGGAGTTCAAAAGTTATGAGCTAGAGGTTAAGCAGTTAGTAAAAGATAATTAGATAGTGGCAGTTACATTGTTCAAAAATCAACCTTTTTTATATAATTGTTTATTAATGTGTTGTGCACGTCAATGGTTTATGCTAAAAAGAAAGTTTTTTTTTTGTTTTCTTTTATATAAGGTCTTAATATATATTATAAATGGTAGGTACTTATCACTTAGTAACGGGCGTTGCATAAAAAATTGATTAGGTAAATTAAGCAATTAGCAAAAAATACGTATATTGTAATATAAAGTATTTTAATTAAATATATTAAGCAATATATTTAATAGTAAGATGAACCAGTATTTCAGCGGAAAAAATTTGCATGTTGGTGGTGATGAAACCAAAAAGAAGATTCGTTTTAGTCGCTTTCACTTACCATATGCGCCACAGAGCAAAGCCAAAAACAGTACTAACTGCTTCATGTTGTAGCTGGAGAAGACAGAGGACCAAGTGAGTGCAGTGAATAAGGCAGCTGATATATAAGGACCGTAGATGGTCGCCTTATCCATCAATCATAGCATGCAAAATAAATCGCTGATTAGAATATAGGTAATGAAGATATCTATTTGTAGGATCTCTAACGTTTTATCTTCTATACATATAATAAATCTGTAGAAAGGTCGTGTTTGTAATTCTAATATTTTCTGGAAAAAACAATTCCAGGGGACTAAATAAAGGGCACTGAGGATAAATTAGTGGTTTTAAGAACTTTTGTCTGTCTGTCTGGCTATCTGTCTGCCTGTGTATTACCGTTTCACGCAAAAACTACTGGACGGATCTCCATGAAATTTTGTGTGTAGATAGTTAGGGACCCGGGGCAATTTATAGGCTACTTTTTATCCGATTACGGATCATCAAAAAAAGGGTTAAGTATTTTCCTTCCTCAAGATGTTAATTTCTATTTTATATTATTGATGTTTTTTTTTAAAATAGCATATTTATAAATAAAGCCTAAAATGAGTTAACCGTTGCGTTATAATATTAACTACGCCGAGAATCTAAATTTCACTTTATAAAAACAGTGCCATCTAACGTGAAATCCAAAAAGTAGTAACGTTTTACCTCCAGTTACTAATGCATAAAATATAAAATTGGTAAATCCAATTGGGCATGCCCTAAGCGCATTAAGAAAATTACGTATAACATGATTATACGGAATTTTTGTAAGTAGTTTAAATACATTTCGACAGCACTATCGGCTTCAACACCCTCGAAAACCATGAAAATGACACCCATGATGAAAAAATTTATACCTATTGCAGCCGCTACCTTGGATTTACATTTTGACAGCACTATCGGCTTCAGCACCCTCGAAAACCATGAAAATAACACCCATGAGGAAAAATTGATACTACTTACTTTTAGTACGTACTACTATTATTTATTCTGTGCTTTTAAAATATTGTAATAAAAAAAAATCTCTCATTATTATTATAATCAAGTATTTAAGAAATTTGGTTATTCGAATATTGTGTATTTGTACAGCGATCTTTTTGAGCCGCTGCAAATAACCGTAACAATGTTCACTCACGACGGCGACTGACGCCGAACCACAGAACACTATTACTCCTAACGGAGCGACAGTCTCTATTTAGTAATAATTTATTCGTACAAGGCTGATGAATACATCGAAAATTTCACCATTTCGCAGCTGAAAATTTTATTATAACTAAACTAAACAAAATTAAACTGCCATTTACATTCAATGGCTTCCCACATGATAGTTGAAGAGTTTTAAAAATATATTGAGTTGAACAATTGATATTTTCAAAAGTTATCGTGTTTACAAGCCTTGCGGACTTGATAAATCCACACCATAAGCCACTAAAACCCCTTTTTTATTTAAAAATAGCAATTAATCGAAAAAAAAATATATTAATAAGTTCAACAATCTTGCTGATAATGTGCTTTTTATATCACTTATATGTACATTATGATTGCTAGATACGATTTCATGCGACAAAACGTTGGAATCTTAATTTTTAGGGCCTAGTAGAACATACCGACGCGCTTAGGCGCTTACGGCATGCAATATATAACTTACATTTATATGTTTAATAATTTAATTCATAATTATTTGAAAATTCTAACGGTCATTTTTCAGTTCTTTCCTTATTTCATTTTAGTAGGAATTAATAAAGTTTATAGTAACTAATTACTATTTAAATAGTAGATAATAGTGACATCTATCGAAATTCATAAAATGTGAGATGTTTCCAAGTTTAATTTCTAATCTATAAAAAAAGTTTTGATTATCTGTAAATAAACTGATAAAACTGTAATTGTTGCAAAATTCTCATAGATTTTTTTATATTTATTAGCCAGATCTTAGAATTAATAATATCATAACGAAGTAATTATAGCACGATTGGTGGCATTTCATTAAATTTAACATTTTTTTTGATTATATCATGATATAGCCCGACCAAATCAATGAATAGAGATCGTTTGGCGATATTAACAACTAAACACAAAATTGCTATTTCTTCATATTGTTATATCGTAAAATAATTTCATTACACCCCGTAGAAGTATTAGCGTATTTTTGACACAAGCAGAATTTTTAATAGAACATAATTTATTCCTAATTTATGTGGGTATTATATTATAAATGTTGGCGGCTTTGTTGTGTGAGACGGCACCCCACTCGCACCTCAATTTATTGTCGCTGAGTACTATAGGGTACAGTTTTTGTTTTTATAGTTTTAATCTCATAATACCGCCATCTGCTAAATAAACTAATAATAAGTGATTAAAATAATGAGAATTACTATTGAATACTTTTTTTTCTTCCAGCATCAAAAATTGTCAGACTTAAAATATCCAAACCGGTGTCGGGATGATGTTATGGTGATGGGTTATCGTTATTGTCAAAATGACTAACAGAACTGTGTACACAAAACTGTGATTATGACAGAATGTCCTTAGTTGAATATGTTGGGTGTCTATCAGCATAGGAATATTTCACCAACTTCTTTTTGTATCAAAACCGATGTAGGTAAGTAATTGAAAATTAAGTGGACTGTAAGATTTTCATATCTAAATGATGGAATAGTTTGATTGCCTAATTACAATGTAGGTGGGGTCCACAATAGTGCAAAAGCTTATTTTCAGTGTGAGTTTATTTACTTTTTTTTTAGCAAATACGAGAGCTGTGTAGCCCGCCGTAAGATTTCAAAGCACAGGAACAGAAGAGTTCGATTCCCGCGAGGCCCAATGAAACTACTACTACTACCTACCTATTGAGATTGTTTGAGTCAGGTTTCATAGCTGACATGAGTAAATGAACAGGCTCTTGCGAAAAAGTACTATAAATATTAATGACAGCAAATTTTAAACGCATGTTTATTTTAATTTTAACTATGAGTAGAACTACATTGATAGAATCTTGAAAGTTATCCGGTAATCGAACCGATCGTAAGCAACCCAAATTCGATCCGCACCGACACCAATCATATTATAATTGCAATTTGAAGTTTCGATTTATCACGTTCTCGGTGGCGAAGCAAAATATCGCGAGAAAATCTACATATTTGAGAAGTTAAAAAAAATATTGCTGAAATAATTTTTAGGTATACATTTGTGAAGTCAGTCAACCCGCGTTGTAGTCAACTTAATGAACTCTTTTTTGTCCAGTAGTGGGATGTATGTAGGCTGCTACTTTTTTACTTTTAATAGGCCTATCCACTGTTAATCTGCTTCTCCCATTGTTTGTCGAATAGGCCGGATATTTGCAGTAGTAACCACGCTTGGCGAGTGGGTTGGTATCCGCAGCTTTTTATTACTCTGCACTGTTTTCAGGAAGATGAACAGAAGGGAAACTGAAACAGGAGATGAATGGCAGATTCATCTCCTGTTTCAGTTTCCCTTCTGTCGCCTCTTACGACATCCATGAGACGAAATGAGGTATTGGTTTCCATTTCGCCGCCTCTACATTGCTAATATATATATACTCCCGTTCATCATATCGATTACCTCCATAGATTACGAAATAAGTTGGGTATTAGACACGCTTGGCAGGCGGGTTGCTAACTGCATCGTTTTATTATTTTGAGTTGTAATCAAAAAGACGCTGCTGCCCATCTTCTCTATATTTCTACACCCGTTCATGAATATAGTCCCTGTCACACGTTCATCGTGAATAGAACTACATTTATGAAATTTTAACTTTAATTGAAGTAGTTTTAATGATATTTCTAAATCGAAGCCAACGCGAGCGAAGCCGCAAGTAAAAAGCTATATATATATATATATATATATATAATTATATATATATATATACATATATATAAAGCTATATATATATATATATATATATATATATATATATATATATATATAGCTTTATATATATGTATATATATATATAATTAAGGAACACCACAGAAGTATGTCATGTGTCTTTATTGGTTGCGGTTGAAGATGTTGAAGAAGACACATTAGAAAGAAGATTGCTAGGAAATCAAAATAATTAATTACTGTAGGATTAACACGTACACTTGTTTGAACGTATCTCTTTGCTTATTAATACCAGCTTTTCATACGACTTCGCTTGTGAACTTAGATTGAACAAAAACAATTTTAATTCCCAAGTAGGAAAGGGTGAAAAATTAAAATTTCAGTCATTTATCTGCTCGTATATAAAAGTATTATTTAAACGATTATTATATTAGAGGTAGCGACGATCATTAATAACACTAATGATTATAAGCCGTGGTTAACTATGACATTGGGACGTTGAACACCTCTGTCCCCCCGTGACCATAGGTGCTGTAAACTGCTGAAAACGTCAGAAATATAAAAGAAGTAATATACGCGATAAAGTATATGTTAATACTTTATCGCGATAAAATCTGTAAAAACTTTAAATAAAAAGTTTAATTTAACACTTTCACTGTCCGGTTTTCAGGCACAATTAATAGTAAAACAATTGTAATGACCTACATGTAGGGCACGGGACAGCGACAGGTGTGTAGTGTTCGCGTAAACATACCAATTCATTAAGTTACAGCCTATTTACATCTCACTTCCAGGCACATGCTAGAGGCATCTAGAGGATCAGTCCTGAAAGAGTTTTAGAAAAGAAAGTATACGCCACCATGCTGGTTCAATGATTCTTGGTGGACTTCACACTGTCAGGCATGCAGGTTCCCTCACGATCTGTCCGAACCAGTGGTAGATAAAATAATAATAATTTTCAATAAGCATAATCAATATTAATTGAATAAAAGTTATTCTATTCTATTTTATAGCAGTGAAAGTCCTATCCAAATCCGTTCCCTGTTTTTGGTGATGCGCGTTCAGCCAGACAGACAGACAAACATACAGATAAAGTTTTCAAAAAATGTTGGTTTGGCATCTCTATCGGTATCTCTATCGCTATAGTACACCCTAATTGAAATTAAAAAGAATAATGTGCAGAAATGGTTCTCATAAAGTATTGTTATAGTAAAAATAAAAACATGCAATCCAAATGCAAACCTTGCAAGCGTGTGCATAA